TCTTGTTCAGTTCTTATCTCTAGGTTCCTGCCTCCAGTTCCTACTCTGACAGTTCTCAATGGTAAACTGGGATCTGGAAGTATAAGGCATGCAAACCCTTCCTTCCCCTTCATACAGTAGTGCTTTGTGGAGCTGGAGAAATGACTTAGCTCTTAAGAGCTTAGACTACTTTTACAGAGACTGGAGTTTCCAGAATCCATGTTAGACTGCTCAGAATGGCTGTCAGACATCCAGTTTGAGGAGATCCACTGTTCTCTGACTTCCATAGGCACCGTCATGCACATGGCACATATAAGCCCATCCAGACATATACACATAAACAAAAACAGAGAAAGAAATCCTTTAAAGGTTCGTTGAAATGTTCTCTGTCCTCTCTCATCCTCTTCTCTCCTCTTTCATCTCCTTATATCCTCTTTAACCCAATTCCTTTTACACACTCATAAATTTCAGTTTTTCAGTGACTCTTATTACCTGGTCTAAGCTTGTAATCCCCTAAGCTATAGAAAGGTGAAATAACATGTATAACATTAATCAATAATCTGAGACAGATTATTAGAGAGTTTGAATCCCAGTTTCTGATTTTAAAAGGAAGAACTCTTCGTAATACAGCTACTCTAATCCTTGCCTACATTTTAATGAAAATCTGTTACATTCTCTTAGACTTGGTTTTCAAAGCTGTAGTGGGTTTAATAATCCCTGTCTGTCTCATGAAGAGTGCTTATCCTGGGCTTTAGGGATACAGGGGCAGAGTGTTTTATTCTGACACTCTACAGATGAGAACAGGACATGAACAGGACATGAAAGCTGACAAGTTGCCTATCCACACTCTAGAAACTAAGCTCATTTCCTCCAAATGAAAAAGAAAGGTTTTGCCTTCTGAAAGCTCAGTTCCAATCAGGTGTTTTTTCTGGGTGGATAGATTTTTAAATGTGCCATTGCATCTTTAGGAATGAATCAGAGATGGTGAATTCCTCTTTTGTAGGAGAAAGTGGGCTGTAAAGGAGAGATCAGACTGCCTAGTATAAGGTTCACTATAAGCTAGTCCCTTCTTGTGTCGCAGTTCTTTTTCCTTCATCCTGAGACAGAATCTAAAGGGTGTAGTGTCTCAATAGGAATGTGCACACCAGGGATTCTCTAGTTTAGTCATTCATTCATTCATTCATTCGTTTGTTCATTCATTCAACAAATACTTGTCAAAAGTCTGCTGAGGTTTCTAACACTCCTCCTCCTCCCTGCCCTCTGCTATCTTTTCTCTCTCTCTACTTCTTTCCTTTCTCTTCCTCTCACTCTACATTCACAATATCCCTTCCTGCTTCAAGTAGAATATATTTCATTATAAATGTCAACAGGCTACTACACCGGAGGTAAGATGTCAGGGCGATCATTTGCTTTTTCTGTAGACTTCAAATTTTGCACAGTCACCTGCTCAACACCCAAGGTAAAGCACTCAAGGAACACTACATAAATGGATGTAACAGAAACAAAAAGCCCCGTTTGTTTTATTGTTATGTTGCTGCTGTCTTTGTTTTTCCTGGCCTCACATTTGTATTCCATTCCTTACTCTGTTCTCTTTGGTGCTTCAGGCAGAGGGAGTGAGGAAAGAGAGAATTCCCCAGACAAAACACTGGCAGATGGAGTGGAGGGGCTCCCCTAGGACACTAGTAGCAAGAGAAACTGAATAGCAGAGTCCAAGGATGTTATTTTTAAAAGAGACTTACAATAGCTTTGTCAGCATAATGTTGGAGAGGAAACGAGACATACTCATATTCCCTCTCCCTCCCTACCCCCTCTCTGTTTTTCTCTCTTTCTTTCTTATTCCCTCTCTCCATTCATTCATTTTTTTGCTCTCCCTTTCTATCCTATTTCTTTTCCTTTCTTTTTAAAACTTTTAAATTACATTTATATGTTTAATGTAATAAAAAGGAGTGCCAGCTTGCATATGTTTTGGAAGTCTTATACAGCTTGGAGTAGTGAGTTCTCTCCTTCCACCATGTGGGTCTCAAGTATTGAATTCACGTTATCAGGCTTGGTGTCAAGTGGCTTTTCCCACTAACACACCTCTCCAGTCTGAACCTCTTTCATTTCAATGCTAGTTCTTCCCTATCATTTGAGGTGTGTGACGTATCTCTCCATTGACCACCTTACTATTTAGCTATGTAACATTTCTCCTGATCCTGTTTCTCTATACTTCCCACTACTCTCAAATTCTAGTTTTAGTCAAGCAGATTTATTGTGCCCTAAATCTAAAGATAAAGAAGTAAGCTTAAAATAACATATTTTTATCCAATTTTCTGAGAGTGCCCTTTGCCTTGGGAAATGAATTAAGTCATCTTAGAAGGTAGATCTTACATAATCATATTGTAATTTTCCACTATCTCTGTTCACATTGGAAGAAAAGAAAGTTGGTCCCAAAGTTAGCCAACTTCACAATCTTATCCTTACGAGGTCATGTTTTATCATTCTTTAAATACTGAGTATTAATAACTCTCTGTTCAGCATAAAGAGACACAAAGGCTAGGCATAAGGGCACTAATTCTCACCCTCATAGCAGCTGTCTCTGTGGCCGAGAATTGGACACTATAACTTTCTGCAGTCTTCTTCATTGAGCTTAGATTTACGGCAGATTGCCCTTGGATTGGGTCTAAAGTTTTATTGTATCTGAATTGGCTACCATCTCTGGTGACTGTGAGACTGTAGTTAGTGTTGACCTTGTCTTCTTTCCATGTTGGAAGTATCTGACATGCTGGTCACTGGAGCTCTCTGCTGGCTTACACCCATCTTCCAATAATTAAATTATAATGAATTGACTTACTCTGGCACATTTGATAGTATTTCACTATGTAGACTGATTGTAGGAATAAACAAGGAATTTTGGAGCTTGGAAGAAGCTCAACATTCTGCTGCCCCTGAATTCAATAACTCCTGTTACAGATAACAACATAAAAATTCAAGTCCTTTTCCCCCATGACCCTAGCTTTTTTTCTAGAAGGTAGAATGTTTGAAAGTATTTCAAGTAAGTATTGATTTCACAAGCTGATTTAAATTCAGCCACTTAGAAAGGAATTGACCTTTTAGAAGAAATGAATATTTTCTTGTCATGACTGTTTTTAGAATGTATAAGGCATATTTTTGTTCCTTTCCAGTGAGGATATTGTCCTTACATGGACAATTAGAGTCATGTTAGAGGAGGGGGACAGAGATTAAGAGGCAAAACTATCTTTTATAGTTATATGCAGTGCAAAAGTCAGAGAAAAAACCAATACCTAGTACCTTCTCCAGAGTTCTGCTCCAGTATTTTGGAGTCAAGATTAGATGGACAACCTAGATCAAACCATAAACTCACAGTAATCCTACATCCTAATTTGCCTGAGATGTTCAGAGTTCCATGTGCATGTTGCTCAGACATAATTTCTAGTAATACATTCCTTACTCTCCAAGTGTTACAGCTTAGATAATCAATTATGCAGTGGGTCTCAGACAGTAGAGAGAGAACAGTTTGAGAAGTTACAACCTTTCAGAGCAGTTACAGCATGTGGACCCAGTGTCAGGACAGTACAATGAGTGTTAAGGTGGAGATGTTAATAAAATAGGCACTTTGTACAGAAGTGGCTGCCTAGCTTTGCCTAGCAGCACTAAAGAGTGGTAGAGAAGAATTTGTTTAACTTCTTTGGAGTTAAATAAATCCAGGTTGCAAGATTAAATTCCTTTGGTGTCGGATAACATGCCTAGGACTTGCAAAGTGAGTTGGGTTCTTATAGCTGGCACTTATACATTGTGCAACTTGGGCACCTATTGAAGACATATGGCATCTCAGTTTCTGTATGGACATTAGTTTTCAAAGGTGACAGGATGGTCTTTTGGGGATACCCACTTTGCTTCTCATTGAGTTGCTCTATATTGAATACATAGGTCAGATCTTTGACAGCATCCTCCTCATGACTCCTCTGATACTTGTCCTTACAGCCAAAGAAGCATTGGTACAACCCACCACAGCTTTTAATGACACCCCTAAACAAAGCAACAAAACAAAAGAAAAATTTCAAAAAAGGCAGGTGCTTGATCACTTGTCATTTCACTGAGACATTTAAGCATATCATTTTAGACTGTGGGATCATTAGGCTAGGAGCTTGGAGTCTCTGGAGTCTTGGAGTCTACCTTCTTTGCTCTGATAACTGATCCCAGAATAAAGAGACTATCCAATAAAACACAAAAATTTAGTTGCTGGGCTAATACTGAAGTTGGTTTGTTCTTTATGCAAAACTGAAATCTTCTTTGGAGTTAAATAAATCCAGGTTTCAAGATTAAAGTCCTTTGGTGTCGGATATCATGCCTAGGACTTACAAAGTGAGTTGGGTTCTTATAGCTGGCACTTATATATTATGCAACTTGGGCATCTATTAAAGACATATGACATCTCAGTTTCTGTATCTAGAACATTTGGATTGTAATTAAAATAATACCTTCATCACATTGTGATTGAGTCTCACTTCAGAGGAGTGGAAATTTATGGATTTTGTTGTAAATGGGACAACAGATCCACACAGATGAGCTCTGCCCTTCCAGCATATTCTAGGTATGCAGTCAGATGTGTCAACCATAAGCACAAACTGGTGTGACAAATTTCTAGAACATCCTCATCTTGAATAAAACCCACAGTTTCCATCCCCCTCCACCAAGTTCAACCTGGATATTCTGCTCTCAGTTTCTAAGTGTGTGTGTGTGTGTGTGTGTGTGTGTGTGTGTGTGTGTAAAAGGAGTTATGCAGCACTGTGCTTCATTTTCTCAGCATTGTACCTACCAATTGCAAATTAGCCATTGTGTATGCCAAGATATCTTTACTTTTTTCTACTTAAGGCCGAAGAGAATCCCAATGTGACTAAAGACAGTAGGTTCAGCAGAGTTTCTGGTCTAGATGGTCTATTCCAAGGCTGCTGACGATAGTTAAGATCAGAGAAGAAATATTTAATTATTGACTCCCTTCCTATGTCCACCTCCCACAGATGAACCCAGCCGGTGCTATTTCCATGATGGAGATGGGATGTGTGAAGAGTTTGAACAAAAAACTAGCATTAAAGACTGTGGTGTCTACACACCCCAGGGTTTCCTGGATCAATGGGCGTCCAATGCTTCAGTATCCCATCAAGACCAGCAGTGCCCAGGTTGGGTTGTCATTGGGCAGCCGGCGGCATCACAGGTAAGTTCCTAGCCTTGTGAAGCTCCTGATGCTGGTTCCCTGTATCCCTGCTATGGCTCTCATGGTGCCCACTTCAAGCACAGTGTCACAGAACATCTTTACCTGAGCATAACTTTACCGAACTGTGATATGAGCACCTCTTCACTCTCACTGGTTAAAGATAAGACATATTGTGGTGAAGAGGAGAGAATGCAAAGGTCATGAGAATAATGACTGTTCTCCTATGGGCTTCTTATTATGATTCATTCAACTATGGGAAAGAACTCTGCTTTGAATATGCCATTGGAATTCAGTAGGGGTAAGAACAAATTTACTTGGAAAAATCTTAGTGTTTTTTGTTTGTTTTGTTTGTTTGTTTGCTTGCTTGCTTTTGCATTTGTGGGTATTTTTGGTTGTTGTTTTTTTTTGGGGGGGTCATGGGCTGGGACCCTCAATTTGTATGGTTACTGAATTGATAGCAACCCTACCACAAACTTGCTGTAATGTCTCTCTGCCATTCTAGTTTCCACTTTTTCTTCCCTCCCCTCACTCCTGTATTTAAAATAGGAGTTTAGCTTGATGCACTTCAGGGATGTTGTCACTTCTAAGAAGCTGTGACTCATTCCATGATTCCCTAATGCACTATTTATATGACAGGGTTCTCCCACAGGGAGGGAGAGTTTTGGTTGAGGGAGGGAGAGTTTTGGTTCTACCAGAGCTTATGTGATCCTAGGATATCTGTGCTTCCCCAGAGCCCCCTTTGCAATTATCCTGCTGAGAAAACACTTGCCTTCTTCTGAGACTCCCACTTCCCCTAGACACAGCTTAGTGCTTCTGATTGTCCAGCACAATGCCCAGTTTTGAACCTAGCCTTCCTCTAGGCCTTGTAGATGACCGGTGATTCTCATCCATCCCTTTCTAATACTGCTTCTTTATTTCAAGTTTGTTGGAGTCCAGCTGGCATTTTAATGAATGAGAAGTAGGACTTTGGGTTGGGGTCCAGTGAGAGTTATTGAATATGCTGTAAAGTATCACCTCTCATATATTCAGTTTCATTTCTGTTTGATCATCTCTTCATCTCTCCTACCTATGTTCACATTGTTAAAGATTTTACTTACTCATTTGTATGCAGGAGTGGATGCCCTTAGGAAAATGGAAGGTGTGAGTTACCCAGGATCCCCTGTTGCCTGTCATGTGTGGTGTCATCCTGGCCATGAATAGGTCAGCGTTCCTCTTGTCTGTGTGCTGCCTCAGCACTGGGTGGACTCACCTGTACAGTCATAGCTTCATAGAGAGCTTGAGGAATCCTATCTGTGTACTCTATTTCTTCCCACAGTGGGTTATTGGGGGATTGAAAGTAGGTTGGGGCTTCATTCATTTTTCCCCCACTCAAAGCACAGTATCTACATAACACTGGGTGCCAAGACTGCCTGGTTTTGTTTTTACTATAAATGTCCATGTGCATATGCATGTATACACAGACCTGCCTATAATCGACACCAAGTGATGTCCAGCCATTGTTTCTCTATCACATCAAAGGTGCAAGAATTCCAAATTCACCTGACATTCCATTCCTAGAGTTGACTGAAAAACAACATTCAAATGAGGTAATTATTAACACTTTAGAACTCTTTCATGCACAAGAGTAATGGAAGCAACTGTGCTTAAAAATTACTCAAAGATTATTGTGAATAATGTGATCAAAATTAAAAAAAAAAAAAGAAAAGAATTTCCCAGTCTCCTTATTTTGGAAAAAAAAAAAGTCTTTCATTGGACAATTAATCCAATCTTGTAGGGAGAAGTCTGCCAGAAATTATGGCTGATTAGTTCTCCCTAAACAAAAATCCAATTAAAAAAATCATTATAAATACTAGCTCTTCAATCTATAAAGAAGAGGGGAGGAAACAAAATCATCATATTGAATTATTCATTGTTCCCAAATTTATTTTAATGAAATCGACTATGTTCCATTACTCTGAGCTTGGATATAATCTTTGTTACAAGGGGAATTCACTGTAACTAAATTTGCTATTATGAAATCAGATCACTATAGTCTGTGGGGTCAGTGTGGGCAGGCTGGGTGCAGAATCAGAAAAACAAAGGCCTTGGGAGGGGCACAGAACAAGAGTGTAGCAGTTTCTTGAAAGCAAATGTGCCTACTGCACATATGTATATGTGCTCATGCACACAGGTACAGCCATGAGAGTGCAAACACATATGCAATCATACAGACAGTATAATACAAAGTCTGTTTCCTTCAGGGAAAGCACTCTTCCTGAAGTGAAAGTATTGCTCCCTTTTGATATTAGGGGAGGAAGAGATAGGACTGTGCCCATCATTGCCTTTTCAGTGGTTAAAGGAGCCCAGTAGTTAATTTTCACCCTGTCAGGACCTCTAGTGAAGATGTTGACATGAGAGCAGAGGAGCTGGGTGGCTCTTGAAAGTTGAATTGAACAATATGAGAGAAAGGGGCACCCTGGGTCCCCCACCTTCCTCCAACTTGGTCCTCCTCCACCTTCTCTTTCTCTCCCCTTCTCTTCATTTGCCTCTCTTCTTCTTTTCTTCCATCCCTTCCTGTATTCCATACCCACATGTGCATATATGAATAGGTCCATAGGAGCTCAGTCCAGACATTATCCAAATCAAATACAGAAGAATAGATGGAAAGGAATCAGGAACACCTGAATTTAACTACCCACTGTGCTCAACACAACTGCACACACACACACACACACACACATACACACACCTACCTATAGCCCATTGCCTTCTTCATGGTAAACACTCTGTTGTCTACCTTGAAGCCCTTCAGGAAGTTCTGTGATCTCACCAGTCAGGGTCATATCCTACATGTAAAGAATCTTGTGTTTAGAGGTGTATCTTATAAGATGACAATGGGAGCCTAGAAATATGAGGCCACATCCAAAGTTGGGAGTTGCTGGATTCCAGGGAAACATGTAAAATTCTACATGACATGCGTCAGGGGCTCAAAGCACCCTACACAGAGTTACAATCTCTGGAATTGAGACTGCTCTCACTTTCTGCCACATGTTGACCCTCTTCTGCAGTCTTTTGGTCTTTACCAGGGCAAACTTGTCCTGAGGAATTGTGAAACTGCCCAGTCGTTCACATATTTCCTTTACAATCCAGTATATCCAGTCTCTACCAGCCTTTCTGTGGTATTATAAAAATGGTAAGAATTCAGGTGTTTTCTGGGACCCTATATCTAGATTTATGTCTATGGTATAACTCACAGAAGTTTAAGGCCCCATCTCTGACCTCAGCACTCTTTAAAGAAGTAGGTGTGAGAACAAATGATAGCTGTATTAGAATAATTCAGCAGGCATTTGTGACTAGTGAGAATGAGGGACATGCTTGGTGTTGTGTGAGCTTAGAATGCCAGTCTAAACTTGAGCTTTGATTTTGCATAACTCTGCCACTTCTAATGATTTCCAGTCTCTCTCCCTCATTCTCCTTAAACGACTTTCCCAAATTTGGTTACAGTAAAGCAATCCATGAATGCTGAGTCTTGTATCCAAATATTATCAGACTTATCAAATCTTCTTAGTTGTACAAATTGGGCTGAAAATCCTATAATGAGAGACATTCCTTGGATATTTGGGCTATGCACCTTCCTGACCCAGCAGGAATCAAGAAGTTCCTGTAAGTGAACAAAAATGGAAATGAAGAAAGAGAATCCAGTTATCTCTCTTCTGGGAACCTCAGAAATGGTTCAGTTTGGTTTGGTTTAAGTGCTTGCAAAGATCTTGTCTTGCTCATACTTAGCTTCTGTGCTTCACATTTCTTCAAGGTGAAAGGCTGCCAAAACACAAAGTCAATATGCCTCCCTTTTGCCCTCATCCCCAGAGCATCCCCTTTAGAATATTTCTTTCTATGTAACAGGCAGCCCCTCTTTGCCATGGATTAAAGTAGAGGTGGAGATGCTAAGAGAAACTAGAATCCTCAGTGCTCTCATAGGGATTACAGCTCGTCAATCAATCAATCAATCAATCAATCAATCAGCTTATTGGGTTAACCTTTGTAGGGTCAAACTTACACTGACCATTTCTAGGGTAGTGATTTAAGGACCAATGTAAAGCAATCCTCTTCTGAGAATAAATGATAAGTGAGAGACCTATTCGCACTGAAGCAAGGGCTGTGATACAGTGAGCTCCTCCCATTCTGGAGCTTTCTGGCTAGATCAGGCTAGATTGCTGGTTCTATGGAGATTCCTCCATTAGAGAGAATCATCACTTCTTTATTTGTAACTAGTTTTGATTGTGTTTATCATTAACCTTTGGGGGAGTAGATTAGTCTTTTGAAACTTCATCCTGAAATGGTATTATCTGGTCCTTGACATGCTCACCTAGCTTTCTTTTCTCTTTTCTTTTCTTTTCTTTTCTTTTCTTTTCTTTTCTTTTCTTTTCTTTTTTCTTTTCTTTTCTTTTCTTTTCCTTTCTTTTGCCTCTATTAAAATATAAACCATGTCATGTTTTATGATAGAGCAATCACTTACTTGTTTCATTTAAAGAGAGGTAGAGAGGTGTATTTTTAGCCTATGTCAATGAGTATGAAGGGAGAGCATATCCAATAAAAAAAATAGGGAAACACAGTTTTGACATCTAAAGTCAAATAGATGCAGATCTGGCTATGCTCCTCTACCTTCTCTTCCTGGAAACACTTGGCAATCTATTTCTCGAGGAATCTCAGTATCTTCTTTTGGAAAATGGGAACAACATCTACATTGTGGAGATTCAGGATGCAGAGTAAACAGAGATTGGCTTTTTTAACTCAACTGGCAGTACCAATGTCAGTGACCTGCTTCCTGCATGTTAGGTTCCACTATATACACTCACCCAGTGCTGACCACAGTGACCCATACAAGAGAGACAATTGGTCACATTTCACTCACTTAAACATAGTCCTATCAGCAAATATTTGCTGCTCACTCAGGACTGTGTTAGGCATGTTGGAAATCTCTTAGAAAGTCCAGGTGCTCTTGCTGCTCTCAGAGAGCTTTT